CCCCAAAACCCCAAAACCCCAAAACCCCGGGAAGGGAATTAAAGATTGGAAGAGGAATAAAATATAATAATGTTAGGAATGGTGAGGGAAAGAGGGCAATTGATTTGAATACTAAGGTTAAGATCATTACTTCCTCAGGTGAATCTTCATCAGAGGAAGAGGAATTTGGGCAAATTCTATCAACGGCAAATTCAAATGAAGCTAGCTCTGGAAAACCTCTAAGAAACAAAGGGGAAGCTAAAATCCATAAAAAAAATGAAGAAAAAATGATCAAGCAAAATTTTGTAATATCTAAACTCATAATTCTAATATTTGTGCTATCTTTGGCAGGGGCAGGACTTCACTGATATGAGAAAGATTAATTAGAATATAAAGCTGATGTAGCCTCACTATTGGTAATCTTATTTTCAAATTTGTTCAGATATCTGTTGCTCAGTATCTGGATGAAGAGACTTTTAAAAATAAAATATTTAATACTCATCTTGTAGATTCTTCAATTAATTTCTCTCTGGAATACATCAAAACCCTAACTAACCAAAACGAGGAATCTGAGGAGAACATCAAGCTTGTTGGTGCCTACTTCAATGCGCTTGAAAATAACAAGCTGTTCTAAAACAAGAGGTTCTTTGGACTCCGAGTACGTACAGAATTGTCTAAATTATCTCTTAAAATCTGAAATTTTGGAGCAATTTGTCGACTCCGATGTTCTAAAACAGCATTTATCCCAAATAGAGAAGGAACAGCTAGACAGGATCCAAAACATGCTGCTGGAAGAGCAACGTGCTGCTGAAAACATGAGCTATATTAAAAAAGCAGCTGATATGGGGAAAGAGGCATATGAACAATTAGGAAAAGTCTATAACTCAACTGCTGATATAGGCTTAGATTTGCTTCATCAAGGGCTAGGTTACTTTTATGCCAGTGAAAATTAAAATTAGTATTTAATGTGCTAGTCTTTGGAATAATATTTCTTTGCTAATATTCAGGGATTTCAGTATCATTAAATAATTTAGGGGTTTTGGGGTTTTGGGGTTTTGGGGTTTTGGGGTTTTGGGGTTTTGGGG